ACCATAACAGCATGATATAGAACAGTCTCACTGCACTTCAGATTCTCTGATCACCTGTTTCACACCCTTGATCTGACTCCCATCATACTTAATAGAGATGAGTAAGGCAAGATAAAATTCCCACACAAGAGGACACTGAGGTTCAAAGTGTTGGAGAGACCTACATAAGGTCACAAAGCTGGTTAGCAACTGAATCAGGACTGAATCCTGGGCTCCTGTCACCTGGTGAGCTACATTCGCCTATGGTGCTGTCTCTCTAGCCTACCCACTCTCCTCTCCAGCCCCATCGTGTCACTGTGGTTGTAAAATTGAAACCACAAAGGACAAGTCGAGCCCTCGAGTTGCAATAGCAAGAGGCTTTTATTTTACACAGGTACCTGTGGGCACAACTCCTGACAAAGGGAGAAGCGCCCCCAGGTCTGGGGTTTGGGGTTTTTATAGAGCAGAAGCAGGTTACAGAAGCAGAAGCGTGGTTATTGGCTAGCTTAAACTATTACAAAATGCTATAGGGAGAGCGGGGGGGGCTTATTTATCATTAAGCCAGATGTTTCAACCATAAAACTTACTTATCAGTGAGTTGGAGATGTCTCAGCCATGAAACTCACTTATCGGCAAGGTCTTGGCCATGAAGCTTACTTATCGGCAAGTTGGAATTCTTGACCGGTACGTGACCTGCCTGAGACGTGACTTGCCTGAGAGGCTTCATGGCTCTTGACTTTTATGTTTTTTTATTCAGCCCCATCGTGTCACTGTGGTTACCTCCCACTCAAGCCTTTCTGCATTGGTGTGGAAGATCTGAGATGGAAGCCATGGCTGGCCCTACATCCTCACCACAACTGAAACTCGGGGCTGGAGAAATGGTTCAGTAGTTAAGAACATTTGGTGTTCTTGCAGAGGCCCTGGGTTTTGTTCCCAGCACCCACATGGCAGTTTATAACTGTCTATAGTATTATAGGACAGAGTTCGTAAAAAAAAATCACCAATACCACTTTAAGAAAAGTAGCAAGGTAAATTTTAATTTTCGACCGGCCGGGCTGTCTATCTCGGGAGTAGAAGCAGCCCTGGTGATTGTCAGGTCAGAGTTTTTATAGGATTACAGAATTATTATTAAAACAGGACATTTGTGAACCAATCAGGTTTGTATAACATAGCAGAATTTTGACTCTATTAATCAACAACCAATCATTATACAGACAAGTGATACAGTCATACAACTTGGCAATCAACTTTGTAATTTTAAAATTAGTTGACTTCCTAGCCGTAACAAGTATAGTAAGAAAGCTGAAATCAGCAGTTCTCGGGTGGTCACACAATAACAAGATAACAAGGGTGGTCTTATGCCCTGTGTCAGGGTGACCCAAGACAGCAAGCGGGTTACAGAAGTGAAAACAAGCTGGTTAGTAAAAATGTATAATGTCTGGAATTAGCACATTCCATGATTCATGGCAAGGGCAATTTTCCAAGGCCCAAGGTTTCCCCACTTTTCCTTTCGGTGTGGAGCAAAGTTGCTGCTGAAATGGCTCTGAACAAGATGGAGTAAATTGGGGAAGTTTGCTGAGCCCGTTCATATAGCTCCAGTTCTAAGGAATCAGGTGTCCTCCAGAGGCACCGTATGCACGCGGTGGACTCCCATCCATGCAAGTAAAACATTCATACACATAAAAAATAATTTTTAAAAAGAACCGACCTTGGGCTGGGCATGGTGGCACAGGCCTTTAATCCCAGTACTCAGGAGGCAGAGGCAGGCTGATCTCTATGAAACTGAGGTCAGCCTGGTCTACATAGCAAGTTCCAGGTCAGCTGAGGGCTATAGGGAGACCCTGACTTAAAAGGAAAAAAAGAAAAAGAAAAAACTAACTTCAGGACTGTTTTCCTAGCCTGGGTAGAAAGGGAATGCCAAGCACACCAGAGATGTGGACTCTAAGGAGATGCATTGGGTCTGTTTCTCTGTTTATAAGACACTGGGGCAGATCCAAGTTCATCTCTGTGTATACCTGTGCATATAAGATGTATTTTCCCCTCCTATATAGAGAAGTAAGGGGACTGTGTAAGCCAGAACAAGGTGTGTTGAGTCTGCCATGTGAGGCCCCTTCCCATAGGGGTGTGTGTGTGTGTGTGTGTGTGTGTGTGTGTGTGTGTGTGTGCTGGTGGGCCAGGGGGTTTGTGCATGAGAGGACATCTGTTGGAGGTCCTACCACACAGCTTTGTGTTCATTTGCCCACAGCCCAAGTATCCCGGCTAGAGCCAGCCTTGGATGGAAAATTCCTGAAATCTACCTCTCCTTTGTAGTTATCATCCCTGAAGAAGCTGCTTCTGTCCACCTGTTTACTCCAGAGCTGAACAGGGTATCAAATGCATCCTTTCGTGTAACCCACTTATCCATTTGACAAATATGTGAGAAATGGTTTCTGGATGCCAGGGACAGGTCTAGAAGTCAGGATACAGCATCCAGCAAAAAATGATAATTCCAGCCTTTCTGGGAATTATATTCCACTGACTATAGCAAAACATTACAAAAAAATGAACAAGTTATATAGTCCATGTGAAGGGAAGGCAGAGGAGGGTAACAGTTAGTACTGGGGGCAAAAGGCTGCCATATGACCGGCTGATCTGTGGAGATGAGTGTGAACCAAGGCCAGGAGGAAGCCAGAAATGAGCCAAGCCCAGTTGGTAAAGAGGGTTCTGGGCAGAAGAATCAGCAAAAAGGCACAGGCTTGGAGATAAGGGCAGGGTAGCCCACTAGACAGACAGCCAGGACAGCTGCAAAAAAGTGAGGGTGGAAGAGGTGATGTTAAGGAGCTGTTCTTGTTTGTTTCTCCTTTGCTGTGACAAAACACTCTGACCACTACCAACTTAGGGAGGAAAGGGTTTATTTGTCTTACACCTCCCAGGTCACAGTTCAGCAGGGAGCCCAAGGTAGGAACTCAGGGCAGGAACCTGTAGGCAAGAGCTGAAGCATAAGCCACGGAGGAACGCTGCTTACTGGCTTGCTCTCCAGACCCCTGCTCAGCCTGCTTTCTTTTTTCTTTTTTTTCTTTTTTTTTTTTTTTTTTTTTTTTTTTGGTTTTTTTGAGAGGGTCTCCCTATAGCCCTAGCTGGCCTGGATTCGCTATGGAGACCAGGTTGGCCTCAAACTCACAGAGATCCGCCTGCCTCTGCCTCCCAAGTGCTGGGATTAAAGGCCTGTGCCACCAAGCCTGGCCTAGCCTGCTTTCTTATACAACACAGACCCACCCGCCCCAGCGTGGCACCAACCACATCACTCAACAATCGAGAAGATGCCCCACAGATGTGGGCCAGTCCAATGAAGGAAGTTCCCCCATTGAGGCTCCCTCTACCCAGGTGTGTCAAGTTGACACTAAAGCTATCCAGCACAGAAGGTAAGCGGGTGACCGCCCATGGGGCCGTTGCTGGACACTGTGCTTTTTTTAAAAAATTATTTTATTATTTTATGTGTCTGAGTGTATTGCCTGCATGTATGTGAGTGCACCCATGTCGTGCAGTGCCTCAGAGGTCAAAAGAGGGCTTCAGATTCCCCTGGATCTGGAGTTAATGACGGCTCATAGCCACCATGTGGGTGCGGGGAAACAAACCCGGGTCCTCTGCAAGAGCAGTCAGTGCTCTTAACGGCTGAGCCATCTCTCCAGCCCCTGGACCCTGTGCTTTTTTGCTTTGTTTTCCTTCTGGTTTTCCTCTAATTGAGACAGAGGAAATTGGACCACTGGAGGGTTTTCCCATCTCCCCAGTGTGTTCATTCTGGCTACAGAGTGCCTAACAGACTGTGGTAGGAAGGGAAGAGCTGGGGGCCAGAGGTCTGGAAGTGGGTAGGATTCAGGGGACAGCCATGGAGGTAGGGGAGGCAAAGTAATAAACTGTTCCTTAAGTTCTTATGTTTGTTAGGCATCTCTCAAGCCTCATCAGAGAAGCGCCTTTCTGCAGTAGATAGTAATCAATAGAGGCCCATGAGTAGTAAGACTGTGGAGTCCTCATCTCTAAATGGGACATCTGTATCACACCCCTGTCCCCAAGGCTTATGGATCATTGCAGAAGAGGGAGTGGAAGATTCTAAGAGCCACGGGGAGTGGCCACCTGTAGCTAAACAGTGTTTGCCATGACAATACAGTAGCACTGAACAATATTTTTAAATATTTTAATTATTTGTACGAGTGTATTGCCTGCATGTATGTAAATGCACTCGTGTCGTGCAATGCCGGTGGAGGTCAGAAGGCAGCTTCGGATCCCCTGGAACTGGAGTTACGGACCGTTGTTAGCCCACGTGGGTGCTGGGAATCGAACCCAGGTCCTCTGCAAGAGCAACCAGTGCTCTCAACCGCTGAGTTTATCTCTCCAGTTACCTTTTTAAAAAATATTATTATGTGTATGACTGTGATGCCTGCAAGTGTGTAAATGCACCCGTATCGTGCAATGCCCGGGGAGGTCAGAAGGCGTCGGATTCCCCGGGAACTGGAGTTACGGTGGTCGTTAGCCACCATGTGGGTGCTGGGAATCGAACCCAGGTCCTCCGCAGGGCACTGCTCTTAACCACTGAGCCATCTCTCCAGCTCCTTATTTATTATTTTATTTTATGTGTATAAGTGTATTGCCTGCATGTACGTGAGTGCACTCGTGTTGTGCAATGCCGTAGAAGTCAGAAGGCGGCTTCGGATTCCCTTGGAACTGGAGTTAAGGACAGTTTGTAGCTGCTATGTGGATGCTGGGAATTGAACCCAGGTCCTCCGCAAGAGCAGTTAGTGCTCTTAACCGCTGAGCCATCTCTCCAGCCCCCATAAATATTTTTAAATAAATAAAAATTTAAAAATAACTCTGCAAAGTTTAGGGAGACCCGTCAGCATTTGCTTGAGAGAACTGGGAGAATCCAGACCCGCTCTAGCCTCGGGTCCTTAGCAGCTGGGAGCTGGGAAGGTGGTGGAGCTGAGGGGCGGGCTAGGCTGGGTTCCCGGGAGTCCTCCCCTTTGGCCCGGCGTTTCCCTTTCCCTGGGGCCGGCACGTCGGGTCACGTGGCCACGGCGGGCGTCCAGCGCTAGGCGGCGATGGCGGCGAGGGCGGCGAGCTCCGGGGAGCCGGTGCAGCACAGCGCATACGCGGTGTACTTCTGCGGGAGCATCCGTGGGGGGCGTGAGGACCAGGCGCTGTATGCGCGGATCGTGTCGCGGCTGCTGCGCTACGGGACGGTGCTCACGGAGCACGTGGCGGCTGCAGGGCTGGACCCGCGCGGTGAGGCAGCTAGGGGTGGGCTGGGGACTCGCAGACTAGAGGACCGGCAGGTGGGGACGCTCAAGCTAGGGGACCGGCAGGTTGGGGACCCGCAGACTAGGGAACTAGGGAACTGGCAGGTTGGGGACCCGCAGGCTAGACAAGGGCCCGGCCCATTCCTCTCTACTACAAGTAGAAGGACCCTGGCAAGGCTCAGGCCATGTCTGTCCCAGCACACTGAAAGCCAGTGAGGGAGCTCAGTTCCAACACTCCCTGTCTTGACCTTTAATTCCTTCTTGACCTCTTCAGCCTTTTCCAGGGCATTAGTGGGTAAGAGTGAGATGAAGATGGATTGTGCTGTTTTACCAGGATTCAGGGTGCATCCTACCAGCTACTCCTTCCTCTGGTCCAAAGCAAAGCTCTTTTCCCAACCAACCCCCTTTCTGTTAGAGGCAGCAGATCCTGGATGTTCCAGACCCTCAGTTCTGTTACTGATCACATCCTGGCTGTTAGGTCTTTACAGCTAGGTTTTTATGAGCTGTCTGCACTTACCACACTTCCAGTTTGAAAATTGTGTCTAGAAGGCTTGGAAACCTAAGTTCCCTCTTGTCCCACCCAAGAGCAGTCCCACAGTTATAACTGCAGTTATTAGAAACTTTGAGACAGGTCTCTAGCTGGCCGGGAACTCACTATGCCAGACTTCTTTTACAAGGCAAGAATCTGCTGGGCCTTGTGGCTAATGATTTTAATCCCAACACTCTAGAGGCAGGGGCAAGTGGATCTCTGTGAGATTGAGGCCAGCCTGGTCTACATAGCAAGATCCAGGCCAGCTGGGGCTACAGGGAGACCCTGTCTCAAAAGGTCAAAGACAAGAATCAAAGTGCTAGAGGATTGGAAAGGGTCTTCTAAGTCCCAGAGCTTTCAGGTTCACTAGCTCAAGGTATGTCCACCTCTGTGATTGTTTGGTGGTCCTCAAACTTCATTGTGCTCAAGTGTCCTTAGGGAGTTTATTTTAAAATGCCTGGTGACACACCCATAATTACAGCAACTCTGAAGGATGAGGCAGGAAAATGCTGAGTTCCAGGCCAACCTGGGCTACATAGTGAGAATGTAACAAAAACAAAAAACAGAGTGATAGCCTGAAATAAAGCCTTTGAATATTTTTTTCTAGCTTTTTTTTTTCTTTGAGCTAGGTCTTTTGTATAGCCCAGGGTGGCCTCAAAATTGCTGTGTAGTTGAGGATGATCTTGAATTCCTGATCCTCCTGCCTCTAACTCCCAAGTGGCAGGATTACTGGCCCACAGGACCACACCTAGCTTCTTTTTCAAGATCAAATCTTGCTGTTGCCCAGTCTGGTCTCAGATACCTTCCTCGGGCTCCCTCAAATGAGCTTGGTTTGGTTTGTTTTTGAGGAAGCTCAGGCTGGCTTACAACTTGCTATTTAAGCCCAGGATGGCTTCAAGCTCAAGGTCCTCCTGCCTCTGCCTCCTGAGTGCCACTGTCCTCAGCTCACAAATGAGCTTTTTAACCTGGTTCTGCTCTGATGCCACCTGGCTTTACTGTCCTGAAGGGTGGCATTTAATCAACTGGAAGCTGTCAGTCCTGACTACTCTGACCCCAGTATGTCTGGCCAAGTACCTAAGTACCTTTCCCCAGTCACTTGGATTCATCATGAGTCAGTCCTCCCTACATCCCCATCCAGTCCCAATCACACATTGCTACCTTTCACAGGATAGAATTTTTCTTGTGGCTGTTCCATTCCCCCACTCCTTTTGATAGACCCCCTACCTTGTGCTGGCCCTTGGAGGTACTTGTCTCCCTCCCTGAGCAGGGTAGACATGGAGGACCTCAAGGGCATAGAGTTAGTTAGTACTGAATCGAGGCAGGGAGCATCTCTGACCAGCTTTCTCTCCACCACAGGGGAAGAAGCTGCTGGGGGCGACAAGCTCATCCATGAGCAGGACTTGGCCTGGCTACAGCAGGCAGATGGTGAGTTGCCCCTCTCCTACCTGCAGACTCCTCTGTGATGCTGGATTCCTGGGGCTTCCCTGACCTCCACATCTAGAAGGGACCCCCTCCCTCACAGACACACTTGTCCTTACAACCCCAGGTAATAAGCCTTATTCTTTCCTTTCTTCCTAGTGGTTGTGGCTGAAGTGACACAGCCCTCCTTGGGTGTTGGCTATGAATTGGGACGCGCTGTGGCCCTCAATAAGCAAATCCTGTGCCTGTTCCGTCCACAGTCTGGCCGAGGTGAGTATCCTAGCCTGAGGTGGCTTACCCCTTCCCTGCTGGCTCTCTGGAGACCTCATACCCCTCAGTTTCTTCCTGCTCTGGTGAACTAGGGAGCAGAGCAGGGGAACAGAAGGGAGGCAGCTTCATCTTTCCTGCTCCCCAGTGCTTTCAGCCATGATCCGGGGAGCAGCGGATGGCTCACGGTTCCAGGTGTGGGACTACGCAGAGGGAGAGGTGGAGACCATGCTGGATCGGTACTTTGAGGCTTATCCTCCTGAGCGGGCCTCCAGTAACCCAAGTACCTGACCACCCTGCTTCATTAAATCCTGACCCTAGAAAATGCTCTGGAATCATTCCTGTCTCAGCCCCAGCGGCAAATCAAAAGGTTTGTTCTAACTCTGTCTATAGTGGTGGGATTGGGACAGGTCCTCAAGAACATCCCTTTCCCACCCCACTTCACTTTAGGATACAGAGAAACTCTTTAAAGTCTGTAGGATCCCAAGAGGAGGGAGTTTGTCGTGCCCCTCAGGTCTCTGGGAGGCGTGTGATGGGTCATTCTTTTCCTCTTAGAAGCTAGGCTGCGTCTGAACCTGGACCATGAGGACCTGAGCTTTCTTGTATAAACTTAAGCCAAATGGTTTTGCTTTGGGCTTTTTCTGAGGATAAAGTCTGAAGTTCTAAAGAAAATAGTAAAGAACAAAGAGGAGCTGGTGAGGTGATTCAGCAGGTAAAAGCTCTTGCTGTCAAGCCTGATGACCTGAGTTCTATCCCCAGTACCCACATGGTAGAAGGTGGCACTAGGGGAGCTGAAGCTGCCTGGCCTGGGAGGCAGCAGCCCAGCCTGCTTCCAGAGAAGTATGTGAAAAAAAAGGAAATTTATTTAGTCAACAGAAGGTGCTACAGACACTGGGAGTCCCACCACACATGGCAGTGGAAGGTAAACCCCCTCCCCTGCAGCCCCTGGCAGCTCCAGGTATTTCCTGCCTCTGCCCCCTCAGTCATAGGATTCATCATCATCCTCATCACCAAAGAAGAACGTCTCTCGGTCCAGGTTCTCAGACTCCTCATCATAGGAAAAGCTGTCATTGTCCAACTCCTGGTCAAACTCGTGCTGCCATTCAGGCACATCCTCCTCTTCCTCCTCATCCTCTGCTTCCAGTCCCAAGGAGCCCTGGGGTCTAGGAAGAGCCACCTCACTCAGCCCAAAGAAATCTGACTTTCCCACTGCCCTCTCCCGGCCTCTGCCCACCCTACTCACTGATTGCTGGGCACATTGCATCCTTTTGCCTCCTGGGCCTCTACTGATGGACTCTGGAGTCCAACCCGGAAGTCCTGGCAAGAAGACAGAGGACTTAGGGAGCAGGAGAACAGAGGACCTGGGCCCCTGGGCCTGACATTCTTTCAACTGATGTTTCCTGAGGGCTGGGCTTCTGCTAGGTGCATTCCCTGACTTTGTGAAATTTCATTCCCTGAGGGTCTCCAGAGATGAAAATTCAATGGTGGGTACCCATCCTGTGCTGAAGGCACTTAACAATGTGCATCTTTCTGCCCAAGTTGTCTAGCAGTCAGCAAGCAACTGGAAGGCAGGGTTCACAGGGTTACTCCAGTGGTCCCTCACACCTTGATCCCCACATGTGGGAGTATGGTCAGAGACAGTTTCCTGAGTGATTCTGATAGATATCTGGCCAAAAACCCTTGATGTGGAGAAACCAACTCCTTTATCTTATAGGAAACCCCAGTTGATTTAGTGACACAGCTGGCCAGCAGCATCCAGCAGACTGGTCCAGGCCTCCTAACACCCTCTCACCCCCTCACTGTGTTTCCCTCAGGACCTCCACCAAGCAGGGCTGTGCAGGGCAGAGGAGAGCTGGGGCAGTACCTGGGTGGAGTGCTGCAGGATGGCCAACAGCCTCTCCTGGATCCTCCGGAGCAGCTCCATGCCCATGCTGAGGCAGTCTGCTCGCAGGAGACGCAGGGAGGAGGCCAAGTCTTGGCAGCGCAGCAAGGTTTCCTCTGCAGGAGGCAAACACCAGGCTGGCTCCCTTGTCCCATCTACTCCTTCCTCCCACAAACATCTATGGAGCATGCATGGAGGTCAACATTCATGGAGCTCACACACCAGGGGCAGGGTATGGAGCAGCTCATCTGTGACCTGAGCCCTATGGCATGAACTTCAGACCCGAAGAGAAGGTATGCAGAGTGAAGAGGGGGACGGGGACAGTGAAGGCAGGGGCACTGGATGACCTGTCTGGCTAGACATGGGATGCTCAGCACCGAGGAGAGGCTGGCAGGAAAGGACTGGCCAGGGAGAGGTGTGCCAGGCTTACCCAGGAGGATCTGCAAGGCATTGGTGTGGAGCTCCAGGTTCTCAGTCTGCTGTTCCACCACATCCATGTATTCCGTGTCCTGACTGTAGAAGCTGTAGACGCAGGTATAGGCCAGCACCTAGGGGTGCCCCAGTCAGTTCTTCCTGCCTGAATCCCCGCACCTCCACGCTGGCCTACCCTCTTCTCTGGTCCTCCATCCAGGCAAGTCAAGTGAAAGCAACCACCACTCAGCCCCCCTGGTACCACCTCTCCCATTTGCTTCCCCCACTGCTACAACCTTTCGAGCCTGCTCAAGGGCCCGGCAGGCATCATTGAGGAATGTGAAGGATTTGGGCGGGGGCACCTCGTGGATGGCAGAGGCCCGGTTCCGCAAGTTCACAGCAAACTCCTGTATGAGGACGGTGCTTAGCATACATATGCAGCCCCAGCATGTGCTACCAGACAGCACCCCATGCAGCTCCCAGCTGGCCCTCCCGAGGCAGTCACCTCAGCTTTCTGACTTCACTCACCCACCACCTTCCTGCTCACCCGGGCCTGGTGATGGAAGGTGCACCTCTCATTATAGTCCTGAAACCGCTTCTCCTGACGAGCTGCTTTGCTCACCTGGCAAAGACACGTGGAGGGAGTTGTTGGGTGCTTTGTTCCTACAGACTGGGGTTAATAATTAGTACACGCACTATTTCAGGCCCTTCTACACTTAGTCCAGATGATTTTTCAGGTAATTCTAACTGTTGGAGGCAAGCTCTATCATTAGCCACCCTTTACGGGCAGGTGTGTTGGGGCTTGTCCACAGCCTTGCTGAGTGGTGGGGCAGGCTGACTCCACACTCCTTGCTCTGCTCTGGCACCTGCTGAGGGTGCCCTGTGCTGTTCTCCCCAGGTTTTCTTTGGCCACCCGGGTTTGGGCAGTCCTCCCAGTACAGAACGCCCAGCACCTGCAGGCCTAGGAGACTTCTGTCCTCTCCCTTTGTCCCAGCTGCTCTCTGGGTACATGTTACAGGGCCAGCAGCTGCCTGGCCTGACTGCCCCTGGACCTCTGACTCCTCAGTCACCCGGCCCCTTACCATGGCAGAGCAGCTGTAATAGTCCTTGTGATTTGGCTTCCAGGACTTGAGGCAGCGCCAGCAGAATCCATGGTTACATTTGGCACAGGTCATGCTATGGAGGATGTGAGGTGGTCAGAGGGTACCAGCCTCTGGATAAGGATGGCCAGGGTGTCAAGGGTCTGGACACACCACTCATGAGGTCTCTGGCCTCACCACCTGCCCCCCAGTCTCCATCTTCCCAAGCCCTGCTTTTGGACTCCCAACACGCTGCAGACATAACCTGGGGAATCCAGGAGGTCACCTGGGGGCTGCCAAGTGAGGAGAAGCTGATTTACTGAGCTTCACAATAAAGCTGAGTTCCTCACTGCCAGGCCTCCCTCCCGAGCCCCCCAGCACTCCCTTCTTACTGCAGGCACCCCTCATTCTTCTCGATGGGTGCCTGACAGCTGGGACAGCGTTTGGAGATGAGCTTAGCCAGGTGCTTGCTCTGGGCCTCCATGCTCATGCCATCATAGTAGCCACCATCGTCGACCCACTGGGACATGTGGCCACAGCTGGCAGGGTAGTGTGCCTGGTGGGAGAGTAAGGATACAGCTGAGGTCTGACTGGATGGCACTACTGGCGTAGGTGGCATGGGTGGGACTACAGGAAGGCTACAACTCAGCCAGGTGAGGGGTAAGGAGAGGTGCTGGGCAGGAAAGGAAGGGGTCCTTGCTGGGGCACAGTGGGCCACCCACCTCAGGGAAGCTACAGCTGAAGCAGGAGGCCCAGCCACATTTGGAGCAGGTGGTCCCGCTGCCCAGACCCTGGCGGCACAGGATGCGGTCACAGCCCTGAGGGTTGGTGCACCACGTCAGGTTGGAGCAGCTCTCCACATAGCCTCGCAGGAGGGCCTTCTTGTACTGTGGGCAGGTGCCAGGAGATGAGGGCATGACTCCAGAGGACACCACGTCCTCCTGGCACCCTGAGGGCCAACCTGTCTCCTGGGGCCTGTCTCTTTAGCCCTGCACTGGGGCCTCAGGCAGGAGGGGGTACCTTGGAGATGACTTCTAGTGAGGAGACAATGGCACAGATGAAGGCTCCAGTGGGCTGGGCAGGACAGTCAGCGATGGGGCAGGTGCAGTTCTGCACAAGGTTCTGTTCGATCCGAATTGTCAGATACTCATCCCAGCAAGACTGAGAATGAGGAAAGGAAGGGCTGCTCAGAGATGGGCTTGCTAGTAGCTGACCTGACAGCCTTCCCCAGCTTTGAAGAAGGCAGGCTCCTAGGCCTACTTCATGGCCCACTCTGATCATGGGTTTTCCTGGGATTGGGCTTAATTACATTTGTTTCTGAAGGTGTGTGGTCTCGGGCATTAGCCAGCTACAATTACCGTCAGATGGACATTGAGGGAGTAGGTAAAGAGAATCAAGGAAACGGAAAACAACCCAAATTCTAAGAAAGATATGGAAAGGGCAGTGTGTTATAGCTTGGATATAATGCAGTGCTTTTAACTCAGCACTCAGGGAGGCAGAGGCAGGGGCAGGCAGATCTCTGAGTTCAAGGGTAGTTTGTTCTATATGAGTTTCAGGCCAGCCAGGGCTATATAGCAAGGCCCTGTCTCAAAACAAAAGAAATACCAGCTTCAAGCCAGGTACACTGGCAAATGCCCTATAATCCCAGCACTCAGGTAAAGGCAGGAAAATGCAGAGTTTGAGGTCAACCTGGGCTATATAACCATTCCTTGACTTTAAATAAAAGTGTCCTGTAAAAGACTCATGTATCAAAGGCCTGGTCCCTGATGCAAACAGCATTTAGTGGTGAGGCTTTTATGGAGTGGCTGGATCATAAGGGCTCTGCTTTTACCAATGGTTTACTCCACTGACGGAGTCAATGAGTCCATCAAGGGGAAACTGTGCAAGGTGGGGACTGGTTGGAGGATGTAGATCACTAGAAGTGTGCCTTTGAAAGATCTCTTGTCCTCAGCTCCTTCCTGCCTGTTTCCTGACTGCCATGAGGTGAGCATCTCTCTCTGCTGTGTGCTTCCACCACGTTTCTGCTGTGTTACAGGCCTAGAAACAGTACAACCCGCCGTCCATGCTGAAACCTCTTACACTGAGAGCCAAGACAAATCTTTCCTGCTGTAAACTATTTCAGGTAGCTGTCACAGCAAAGTCTAACACAAGCAAGAAAGTCAGAGAGACTGGGGCCCCAGAGGTGGCTGTCCCTTTCCCACTGGGTGCTGGCCTCCCGTGCTGTCAGAGCAGCTCTGATCTCTTCTGATTCCAGTGTCTCCATCCCCAGCTCCCACGGCTACTGTCTCACACTTCAGACAGACTTGCCTGTGGTGTCCCACTTCCTGATCACGAGCAAAGCCATCTTTCAATCACCAGCACCAGAGCTTTGTTCTCAAACTCGTCTCTGGCTCCAAATCACTGCCCTACAGCAACCTCCCACCCTACAGCAACACATTGTGTCTTCCCCTTACTGCAGGATCCTCCTGATAAATGGCCTTTCTCCCCTCACCTCTCTGAACATGGTCCCTGAGCCTCCTGATCTCCTCCATTAAGCACCCCCGCTCCTCTGCCTATGGTCAAGAATTTCAAAATGCTTAGTCCAAGTCCCAGGAGACTACATGTACCCACGGCACCAGGTGACAGGATGCCCTTTGCGTTCTGAAACCAGACAAACTAGGAAGCTGAATACAAAGTCCTTGCGTTTTCAAGGTAAAACAAAGGACAGTGTCTCCAAATGCAGACCCCACACTTTGCAGATACAAATGCATAGGCTTCCCCATAGTCCCGAAGACAGGATCCTCAAATATCAACCTAGTAGCCTCCTGCTCCTGATTTCTTGGCTGCCATTGCCACCATCCAGCCCAAGGGCAACACAGTGTTGTCGCCTGCCCACTGCCCATCCTGTCTGACAGGTTCTCCCGCTGCTCTAGGGCCTGGGTTTTCCTCCTTTGACTTCTCTGGCCATTTGTACTCAATTGTGACCTATTCACAGGCTGGGACTTTTTCAATCAGATTGTTCATCTTAGTTACAGTTTCAGGAGATGCTGCAGGCTCAGCTCCAGCCTGCTTCTCCTCCTGAAGTGCTTCCAGCCAGAACTTTCCACTTAATTCCAAATCTCACTGGCGACCTGCCTTCCCCAAAATGTCCAGCAAGCAGCTCAAACGTCACAGCCCTGCCCTTCACACCTACCCTCTGCCCCAATGTTCCCCTCATCATAGTAAAAATGGCACAGCCCGTGCACTCAGATGCTTAGGTCAAAAGTGTCGGAACTGACCTTGATTCCCTCATCTGAAGCCCTTATAGCTAACACAAGTCTTGTGGGCTCTACTTTCAAATAAATGAAACCCATCCACTTTTCTTGTCACCAGTGCACAAGTTCAAAAAGCATCTTCTGCATCTTTATACCACATTCTCCAAATGGGCCTTTCCACACAACAGCCAAAGGTGTTTTTTTTTTTTTTTTTTTTTTTTTTTTTTTTTTTTGGTCTTTTTGAGACAGGGTCTGTGTGTATGTGTATGTGGGGTTGGGGGGGCAAAGTTGGTAACTCCCTTGATTGCTCCCTGCTTTATTAAGTCAGGTTTTCTCTGAACCTGGAACCCACCAATTCTAACTAGTCTAGCTGGCCAGCTTGTCCCAGGATCCCCAGTCTCTATCTCCTGAGTGCTGGGAGAACAGGTAGCCCACCATGCCTGCCTGGCTTTCACATGGGCTCTGGGGATGCACACTCCCATCCTTAGGCTTACCTGGAAAGCACTTTTGTCTACTGGGCTTTCTCCCCAGACCTCAAATAAGTTTTCCTTCAAAACTGTAAATCAGATCCCATCCCTCTTTGCTTAAAACCCACCATGGCTTCCCATAATTCATCATCCACTGTCTATCAATCTAACCCCATCTGGCCCCATCCTCCTCTCACACCTCCTCTCCTAAACACACTGGGCATTGGCCACCATGCTCAGCTTGGGTACTTTCTGCTCTCTGCCTACAACCCTCTCTCACAAGATGTCACCTCCTGACAGACCTCCCCTGACCTCCCCAATCTTAAAAGAAAGCCCTCATTCCCCAGTCACGCCTTATGACATCTTCCTTGCACTGATCAAAGTGTGGTGGGAGGGCCCTGGGGTGGGGCTGCCAAAATTGAAATCCTGAACCTGGACCAATGACTTCACCTCTAAGTGTCTCCATCTGTCATCTGTAAAATGGGAACAGTAAAAGGTCCTACCTCATCACATATTTACAGAGTAGGTAGAAAATGCATGTGAGCAGCATGATGCCGGCCCAGGGAGCCCCCATAAGTATTTGCTGCTGTGGTCAGTAGCTCTCAGATCCTTCCTTAGATTTTTTTCACTCCTTCACACAGCACTCAGCACTCTACACATGACCATTTTAGTTAAATGAAATATAGAAGAAATAAGACCCTGGGAAAAAGGGAGCCCAAGTAATAGAAGGGGGAAAAGCACAGAGCCACACACATGAAATGCACACAGCTCAGATCACCCACCACTGGGCAAACACTAGGGTAGAGAGAGGCAACCAGAACTCATGGCAACAAGGCACACTCCTGCTGCTAAGGTGACGTATCGGGCTTGACCCGTGTTCTAAAGAGCTGCGAGGGAATTCTGATTCAGCACTCTTGGCTCCCTGCACTTTGCCCCCTTCTCCCTGCCTTTAGGTTCAAGTCTGCACACTCCTATCTACTATCTACTGCACCACATCCACTTTCCAACGCCTCCTGCTGCTCTAGGCACTGGGCTGTCTGCGCTGACTTCTCTGCCATTTGTGCCACTCCTTTGCACTATTTTTCTGTTCTGTACTATTTCTATTTGTGTATTAAATAAGAATACATGATAATGGGCTGGAGAGATGGCTCAGCGGCTAAGAGCACTGGCTGCTCTTGCAGAGGACCTAGGCTCGATTCTCAGCACCCATATCAGCTAACAACTGTCCTAACTCCAGTTCCAGGGGAATCCAACACCGTCTTCTGACCTCCAAAGGCACTGCATGGCACGGGTGCAATACACTCATACGCATAAAATTAAATATATGTATTAAAAAAGAATACATGATAATACATGATTTGCTGTTCTGAGACGGGAAATCTTAAATGTTGATAAGGAAACTATAAACTAGATAACACTAATAATACTTTCACATTTATAAAGCCTTCCCTGACCTTCTCTCCCTCCGAGTGTCCAGGCAAGTGGTGCCACTTACAGATGACAAACTTAGTTTAGCTAAAGGGGCATAGCAGCATAGTACAGTGGTAGGACATGTGCTTAGCATTTGCCAGGCCCTGGGCTATATCCTTAAGAGGGAGGAAGGGAAGGAGGGAGGTAGAGAGAGACACAAAGTACCCAGGCTAGGAAATGGCAGCACTAGGACAGAACCTAGGCGTTTCTAAGGAGCGGTGTTAAGGTGGAAGGCCAAGGGTTCGGAAGAGGTTGGGTCCCTCACCTTACAGCAGTAGTGCATGCAGCAGAGGGAGGGCAGGTCGTCATCAGGTCCTAGGGGGCTGACACAGACAGGACAATGGGTGGGACGTGTGGGGGCAGCCTGGGCCTGGGGTACCCGCAGCCCAGCCGCAAGCAACAGCAGTTCCGGGTCGTCACTGTAGCTCTGCAGCAGCCATTCGGTGCTCCAGTGGGAATGAGCCAGTAGGTGCTGAGCTACATCTGACTCTAGGTTCAGTGTCTCCTGCACCTGCCGTACCGTCTGCTCCATCAACCCTTCTACCTCCTGGGGGCTCATGGTCCGGCTTGCAGGTAGCTGTAGAGATGCCAGGGCTGCCACAGCTTCTGGGCTTAGAGAGAGAAGAGACAGCCGTTAGTATCCCTGTCCTGGTTATCCACCTACTAGCTTCTGCCCGGCCCTGGCTTCCCACTTGACCCTGTGCTTACACTTGCCTCCAAAGCTTACAGCTAACCACTGAAACCAACAGTGGGAGCAGAGCCCTCCACAGAAGCACATGTAAACTTGGGGCTGGGACTGGCTAGAGCAATGACTGGGGGCACTTCAGGGACCCAGTGGGCAGGGCTCAAGATGCTAAGTGACTTATAATGAAGGGGACAGTCCACTGCAGGTCTCACCTAAAATAACAGCAGTATGTCTAAGTGAGAAATTGTCTGCAGCCTAACTGCAGTGTGAACTGTGGACCAGTGGTGTGGGCATCACAGAGAGCTTGAACCAGATCTGCCCTCAACCAGATCCTAAGTGATATATGTGCATGCCGAGCTCTGAGAAAGTTCAGAGACCTCACTTTACATACATGCAAGAAGCAGGCATGGGAAGTAGTGCTGTAACAGACTGAGGAGGAGCGCGGCCTTGATGATGGAAGCTTTAGGGGTACTGGCTAGTTAGGAACAGCCTAGGACAAATTCTTGAGCAGAACAAACTCTTGAAACCATCTGTTTTGCCAAGCCAAGTGCCCAGGCACTGCATTCCTATCTGCAGGACATTTCCTGTTTCCTTAGGAAGAATGAGCTCTACAAAGCAGCCTGAGTGTCCAGGGCCCTTGGCTAAGGGCTATCACTGGGAGGACAGGGACACCAAATCTCTACTTGGCAAGGGGGTCTGGAGGCCGGAGTGGTGCTAAGATGAGGAATGAAGACCAGCAAAGCTGGAGAAATAACAGTGAGGGGAAAGCACAGGCAGGAAGTGTTTTTACACAAGTGAGCTTTGCAAGGCATTGGTCCTACCTCCCTCCCACCCACTAAAGGGACAGGGTGAGGGTGGCTACCTAGGCTTGGAGGTCTCAGTACTCTGGTTGCCACAAAAAGGGACATCTGCCTGACCGCGGCAGGACCCCAGGGGCTCTGGGGTGGCATATATCAAGATCTGGGGCCGGTCATCACGCCGTTCCACATAGCCCTGGCCCAGGAGATGCAGGATGCAGGAGAGGACATCGGTACTAGAACAGGCCACACCCCCAGCAACAGCACCGCCCAGGCTCCCAGGTGGATTTGGACCCTTCTGCCAGGCCTCCAGGACCTGGATGGGAGAAAAAGAAACAAGCAGGCCACTCTTACCCTGAGGAGCCAGCCTGCTTGGATTCAATGCCTGGCTCTGCCACCTACTGGCTGTGGCTAGGTTATTTTCTCATAACCCACTTGTCTATCAACTGGGATATGTTAATATTTATGGGCTGGAGAGATGGGTCAGAGGTTAAGAGCACTGACTGCTCTTGCAGAGGACCCGTGTTTTGATTCCCAGCACCCACATGATGGCTACAAACCGTCCTTAACTCCAGCTCCAGGGGAATCCGAAGTCCTCTTCTGACTTCTGTGGCATTGCATGACACAGGTGCACTCACATACGAGCAGGCAATACACTCATACACATAAAATAAAAATAATAAAAACAGGCTGGGCGTGGCAGCGCACGCCTTTAATCCCAGCACTCGGGAGGCAGAGGCGGGCAGATCTCTGTGAGTTCAAGGCCAGCGTGGTCTACATAGTGAGTTCCAGGACAGCTGGGGCTACAGGGAGACCCTGTCTCAAAAAGACCAATAATAATATTATTATTATAAATATTTTTAAAAATAATATTTATATTGTATGATTATTGTGGGAACCAAATAACTAAATCATACACATGGCAAGTAGTCATGTCAGGAATAGAAAGCCCAATGGAGGGCTACAGGGATGGCTTAGTGAGTGAAGCACCTGCCATGCAATCACGATGACCCGAGTTCAAATCCCTAGCACCCATGTGAAGTTGGGCACAGTAACACAGGTCTATCATCTGGGTGTTCCTATGGCAAGATGGGAGATGGAGACAGGAAACTCCCTAGCAGCTCATGGCTAGTTAGCCTGGCCAATGCAGTGGCAAACAAGAGACTGTCAAACAAGGTGGAAGGTGAGGGTCAACCCCCAAGGTTGTCCTCTGACCTGCGCTCCTGTACAGGTACACACATAGATCATTCACACACAGCAAGAAAATGCAGATGGGAACGTCATCCAATGGATGTTTCATATTGAAAAAGTTAACTTCCTCTGTGCTGACCTTGGGTTCCAACCCCCATCCCCAAGGTGGAGCATGGTCCCTTCAGCTTACCAGACAGACAAGCTGATCAATGTGGAGGCCTTTCTCCCCATGGGCTTTGAGAATACGAACAAGAAGACAGCTCAAGAGGTTCCTCTTCTGTTCCAGGGTTCGGCCCTCATCCTTTTCTACGCTGAAGTATGTCTGAGGAGGTATCAGCCACAGGACTTCCTCATGGGGCAGGGACCAAGGCTCTCGAAGCTGCAGCATCCCTGGAGTCCAGTCCCAGTCAGGTACCCAAGGATGGGGGAGACACATGAGTGAGTACCCTTCTACACTCTCATCCCCTAGTGCATCTGCCTCCCCCCAGGCTTCCCACTGCACAGCTCAGCCCAGCCCTGCTGACCTACCTCCCTGTGGAAAGTCCTGGGTCTCCCCCAGTGTCAAAGGACCATTGTCAGAGGTAAGGGGCAGAAGTGCCTGGTGCAGTAGCTCAGGGGAGAGGTCAGAATTCTTCAACAAGATCTCTACTGACACTTTCTGGTGAGGAGAAACAGGGCCAATCAGCGGTGAAGAAAGGGAAAATAACAGGGGCAGAAGGTGGAAGAACAGAGACAGGAGGACAAATTGAGGTGCTAAAAGACTAAAGAGCTGAGGTACCTCTGATTGGTTGAAATTCAACAGCAGCCACATCTGCACTGTGGACACATGCAGAGTCTGGTTCCCAAACTGTAACTCAGCCCTGCCCAGCCATGTCCACTGAAGTCGCCGATGTGGTCCCATGTCCAAGACTGGGTAGTTCTGACCTAGGGAAGTACCAGGACACAGACGGAGACAAGAGCAGGGGAGGTGAAGGAATTAGGGGTCGAGATGGACTTTTTTTTTTTGTCTTTTTGAGACAGGATCTCTCTGTAGCCCCAGCTGTCCTGGAACTCACTATGTAGACCAGGCTGGCCTTGAACTCACAGAGATCCACCTGCCTTTGCCTCCTGAGTGCTGGGATCAAAGGCGTGCACCACCACACCCAGCTGAGATGGACTATTTTTAAATCCATGAGTTCATAATGATGTATTTTGTTTTGTCTTTTTGAGACAGGGTCTCCCTGTAGCCCCTGCTGTCCTGGAACTTACTATGTAGACCAGGCTGGCCTTGAACTCACAGAGATCCACCTGCCTCTGCCTCCCAAGTGCTGGGACTACAGGCGTGCACCACCACGCTGGGACATAATGATGTATTTTTTAAGGACCTCACTGGTCATCATGGGAGGAACCCAAGGAATCATGCATTGTTTTTAAAAACTAGCTAAAGGGGGACTGGAGAGATGGCTCAGCAGTCAAGAGCACTGACTTCTCTTGCAGAGGACCCAGGTTCAATTCCAAGCACCCACATGGAGGCTACGAACTGTCCTTAACTCCAGTTCCAGAGGAATCCGAAGCCCTCTTCTGACCTCCACAACATTGCATGACACAGGTGCACTTACATACATGCAGGCAATACACTCATACACATAAAATAAAAAATAAATAAAATATTTTTTTAAAAACTAGCTAAAGGGGGCTAGAGAGATGGCTCAGCGGTTAAGAACACTGGTTGTTCTTGCAGAAGACCTGGGTTCAAATCCCAGCACCCACATGGCAACTAACGACTGTCCATGGCTCCAGTTCCAGGGGATCTGACAGCCTCTTCTGACCTGTGGGCACTGTATGACATGGGTGCACTTACCTACATGCAGGCAATACATGCATGCACATAAAATAAAAATAATAAAAATTTTAAAAAAAGAACCACCATATGATCCAGAAAAAAAAAAAGAGGACAGACTCAGTCTTTTCCTGTGTGTACATTACTTTAGCATAACAAAGAGTTGGCAAGACAAAGTTTTTCTTTACAGAGAAAGCATTCAGCTAACATGTGACAGAACAGCAACAAAACTAGAGTATTACTCTTTCATACCCTCTAATGGAATGAGACGTGAGGGACTGGGGATATAGGTCAGTCCCTATCACCACACAAATCAGGCGGGGTTGCACATGCCCCCCACACAGGAGAGAAAGGCAGGAGGATCAGAAGCTCAAGGTCATCCTTGGCTATGTATGAGTTTGAGGCCAGCATGGGATACATGAGACCCTGTCTCAAAAATATTAAAAAAGGACACTGGGGATACTAGCCTTATTTTTTTTAGTATTTTAATATTTATTATTATTTATTTTATATGAGTGTATTGCCTGCATGTTTGTAAGTGCACCCATGTCGTGAAATGCCCTCAGAGGTCAGAAGAAGGTACTGGATCCCCTGGAACTGGAGTTATAGACAGTTGTTAGCAGCCAAGTAGGTACTAGGAATCAAACCTGGGTCCTCTGCAAGAGTAGCCAGTGCTCTTAACCGCTGAGTCATCCCTCCAGTTCCACTAGCCTTATTTTGAAATATTCCCTCTACATATTTCTTGTTAATAGTGGCGAGGGAAAAATATTTTTTGGTTTACAATTTTTTCATGGGGGAGGATTGAGCAGGGTCTCCCAGCTGGCCTGGAACTGGCTATGTAGACCAGACTGGACTTGAACTCACAGAGACCCACCTGCCTCTGCCTCCCCAGTGCTGGGATTAAAGGTGTGCACCACCACACCTGGCACTTTATTCTATGTGTGCAAGTGTTATGCCTGCAGTATGTAAGTGCACCAGTGTCATGCAGTGTCCACAGAGGGCAGAAGAGGGCATCAGATCCCCTAGAACTGGAGTTACAGATGGTGGTTAGCTGCCATGTGGATGCTGGTAACCAATCCCAGGTCCTCTACAAGAGCAGCAGTGGTCTTAACCACTGAGCCATCACTCCATCTCCCAGCAAAGGAAAAATATTAACTCTATTGACCAGGTTGCTAAAATTAACATCATAGGAGGTTGGGGGGATATAGCTTAATGGTGGAAGACATGCTTAGCACTTAAAAGTTCCCAGTTCAAACCCCAGAACTATGGGGCCAGGAGCCTGGAGATAAAATATTTTGACAGGTTTATAATATCACTTGATATTTGGTGAATATATAATCTGAGCCTAAATATGAGGAAACATCATAGAAATGTAAAGTGAGCAATTTTTTTTGTCTTTTTGAAGCAGGGTCTCCCTGTAGCCCCAGCTGTCCTGGAACTCACTATGTAGACCAGGCTGGCCTTGAACTCACAGAGATCTGCCTGCCTCTGCCTCCCAAGTGCTGGGACTACAGGCGTGCGCCACCATGCCCGGCTTGTGAGCAACTATTTTAAAAGACTGCTTTCTCCAAAAATACCAATGTTCACAAAGTCAAAGAAGGCAGTGGACTGTTCCAGATTAAAAGAGACTGAAGACGTCTGACATCTAAACTTAACAAGTGACATTATCCTGGATCTTCTGGATGGAAAGCAAAGTCACAGAAGACTACGGGTCCATTGACAAAACTGGAATGTAGAAGGTAGATTAAGGTATTATCCCAATGCTGTATTTATTGACAACTCAATTGTTCTTATGCATGAGAGTACCTTTATGCCTAGAAAATCTGTACTATTAGGAGCAAAAAGCCAGTATATACACAATTTATTCTCAACGACTCTGAAAACAAGTGTGTACAATGTGTGCACACATATACTCACACACAGATACATACACTCCTATATACACAAATATATGCACACAAAGAGCAAATGATAAGCTAGGTGGAGTGGTATATGGCTATAATCCAGGCACTCAGGGGGGAAGGCAAGATGACTGAGAGTGCAGGGACAGCCTGGGCTACATCAAGAACCTGGTTTGCAAAGAAAAAAAAGCTAATGATAAAAATAAAATGTTTCGGGACTGGGTGTGGTGGCACACACCTTTAATCCCAGAACTTAGGAGTCAGAGGCAGGCAGATCTCTGTGAGTTCAAGGCCAGCCTGGTCTCCATAGTGAATCCAGGCCAGCTGGGGCTACAGGGAGACCCTGTCTCAAAAAGACCAAAAAAAAAAAAAAATAGTTTCAGCCAAGCATGCCTGTAAAACAAGCCCTTGGGAGGCAGGGGGAGGAAGATCACTGCCAGGTCCAGGTCAGCTTGGTCTATATAGTAAGTGCCTGGCCAGCCAAGACTACACAGTTCAAAGAACAATAAAAAGCAAAATGGTTACAAAAGATACACTTGGATAAAAGTTACATGGATGTTCTTTGCATTATTCTTACAATTGTCTATTAACTTGAAATTAAATTTAGGTAAAAGAATATGGAATCCTCACCTCCCTCTGCTTCCCTGGGCTGCACACCAGGGCTCTTTCCTGGACACCGGGGCTGACCTCTCGGCCCAGAACCACCACTGCTTCCTGATCCCTTGCATCCAGAGGAACCCAGTTCCTTCTCGCCTTCCCCAGGAGCCCTCTGAGCCTGGTCCTGCCCTCATTTCCCTCTGCTTCCCTGGGCCTGCACAACCTGCCAGCCTCTCTCCTGGTCCTCAGGCACCCTTGGGGCCTCTTCCCCCCCCATCTCCCTTTGCATCTCTGGGTGGCATGGCCACCAGCTGCCCGAGACCATCTTTCCTGGACCCTGCTCCCAGGCCAGTCCAACCCCCAAATTCCCGAGGACAACATCTTTCCTAGAAGCCTGAGAGCATCTGATCCTCATCTGACTTGAGCTTCTGTGGGAACTCCTGAAGACAAAAGCAATCTGGCCACTCCAATATAAAATCAAAAGAGAGAACCAGAAGCTTAGACAAATCAGCTTTTCATGCCCAAAAACTAAACCACAAAGGCACATAAAGTTTACAAAAAGAAGCAGACCTAAACTTGAAGGCTTGAGTCTCACATAAGAATCAGAAACTACAAAAGAAATTCACATGTCAAAATCACAGAGAAAAAATAACAACATGAAAAACCAAAATAACATATCCCCACCAAATACCAATAGTCCTCTAGAGGA